TTGATAAAATTGATAAAATTGATAAAATTGATAAAATTGATAAAATTTAAAGAAATTGAGGAAACTTAAGAAATTTAAGAAATCTGAGAAATTTATAAATTTACTAAATTTTATAAACTTAAGAAATTCAAAAAATCTGAGAAATTTATAAGTATAAGAAATTTAAGAAATGTAAGAAGTTAAAAAAATTGAAGAAATTTTAAATGTAATAACTGAAATAATTTTATAAATTTAAACTTTAATAATTTATAAAGTATGAAATTTTACAAGTCTCCAAGTTTAATATGTGCAAACTGAATTTATAAATTTGCTGAATAAATCAAAGTAGCAGTGAAATATAAGTAACAGTGAATAGGTAGACGATTAACCGTATGAACTTGTTTAAGCACTTAATTCAATAAATCTATCAAATAATGAATCTATTATTCAAACTAGTAGTGTGGGTTTGAATCACGTTCCACATAGTCATAATCTACCTCCTCAAGTAGTCTTGCAATATGATTGCACGGTAATAAAGAGTTGAACGATATAATTTACTGAAAGTGAAAGTGATCGTATTAAAGTACAGTGTGAATAAAATTGTATTTCAATAAAAATTGTTAAAAAGGAAATTTACATTGACACAACAATTCTGTTCCTTATTATTTCCTACCCCGTAAATCGGTATTTACCAAGAAAAAACACTTTCACACGGAGCGCAACAAAATGGTGAACGTGCAGTGAAATGCCTTCGCTGACAGTGATACACAGTTACCGTTCTAATTAATCGAATTATATCGAGACAGCGCACGGAGCGTAATTAGAATTTTATTATCAGGATCTTCGGGACACATAAATCACTAGTGTTTCGTGATCGATGTTTCAAGAGGCCACCGTCGAATGTCGGAGTTGCGTAATTTGCGGCTAACGAAACACCAAAGCGTTAGAAACAGGCTCGCTTCGAAACGGAGATTAATTTCCTGATTAAACCGAACGATTCCGTTCTGACATCGTTCCTTCAATGTTCCCCTTTTCTTGATCTTTATCGTGCTCGATCGCAAGCTGAAAATTTCTGCAAGTTCACGAAACAGAAATAATAAGGAGCGGCTTAATTAGCGGTGCAAATTTATTGCTTGAGATATAGAAAAATAAATACTTGGGAAAGGTGTACTTTTAAAAATAATTATTTTGGGTGATTGGTATTTTGGGGAAGGAGTGATTTTAAGAGTAAATACTTTGGGAAGGGAAGGTTTTTAAAAAGGAATTCTTTTGGAAAGGTGAAGTGTAACAATTATACTCTTTAGAATACATAGCTTGCTTTAATGGTAATGGAACTATGATTATATAAGATTTTTTATGATGTATGTGTTTTTCCTTAATAATTCAAAAATGAAGCCTCAAACCCCATTTTTGTAAAGCAAAATCTTGTTCAGAATAACATCAGCTGTCTCATATTTCAGGGGCCTACACTAGTTATGAGACACCCTATATATTTATTATCAAGGTAGTAAATATTTTCACTATGTTCTTCCATTTATTCGCAAAATTAAAAATAATATTTCTAATATTTATTTAGACAGTCATGGGTATTAAAAATTAAAGAAGTTATTATTATCGATATGTTATCAATACTCTATCATTAAATAACAATGTATTAATCATTGAAAAAACGTTAAAAATAATGAGTTACTGAGATAAAACACAGACAATCATTTTACCACTGAAATGTATTTATTTTTGCTTAAACTTCAAATCTAAGATAGCCTAACCTAACTTATTGCATACTTTCATAACAAAAATCGATTTATTCTTATTTAAACTTGAAATTTAATCTAACTCAACCTAACCTATTTCTCTAAATCTATATATCCTTGTCTGAATTTCAAATTCGAATCGTGTTTGAAACAAGAATAATTTTGCATGATAAATTAAATGAAAAGTTTGGTTAGGTTTTAAGTTTGAAGAAAAATAAATACCAAAACTTTGTACTCATGTTTGTATATTTTACATAACTTTCTAAAAACATAACAATAACAAAATTCATGAAATTTTATTTAATACTTTTCATTCAAGATAAAAACACTACCTTTTCACTTTAATACAAATATTCTCCACTTTCAAAATTATGAATTTCAAGAAAATTGTAAAAATTATTTTAAGCAACAAACAGTAATTTTCCAATATTAAGTCACAAATGTTTATAAAAATTTGTGTTGAAAAGGTATATAATGTATATCATGTAAATATTGAATATAAATAATATTCGTACGATCCATTTTTCAAACCTGATTTATGGTTACATGTATTTACATTCGAATAAATCTTCACAACACTTTTTATTGCTCGGCATTTCGTTTCGAAGCTGTCACAACTTCATACCTTTGACTAAATTATTGGAACCAGTTTTGTTGTATATGCAGTACGTTGAAATAAACTGTGACATACAGGTTAGATTGAACATAAAAATTCGAAAAAAATTCTTTTCCTTTTTTTTCATAGAGAATATTGAATGATTGTGTTGTAGTGTGAACTGAAACTATTGTTTTCAAGGAAGTTCAAAATTTGTCAGGTCTTATTTGTTTTTGTCATCTACAGGATATTTCGAAAATAGTTAAAGCATAATTATAAACTTATTTATTATTTCTTTATTATTACAAGCAATTCAAGATTGAGTTATCATTAACTATTTTTCATCATTTGGTATAATACTGCCTTAAATAATTATGTGTTCATTATGAATGCAGTGATTTTAGTGTCTTCATACAAAGCTAAAATTTACCAAATAGTTCTGCCTTTGTAGAATTAAAAAATGTCATAAAAATGAAAAAGATTGACTTTTCATATTATGTCCATGTATAACAGTTATTTACTCAAAATGTGGTATGATTTATATCTATGAATAAAATTGTACATTTAATTCAGTTTAACTTTATTTTTACTTAACATATTAGAAAAATAGTAAATACTGTAATATTGTAAGTAAAAAGAAAATAGAAGATATTAAGTTTAATAATTGCTAGTCATACCGTTCTTAATAATTAAACGAAATAATTAGACGCACTATTAATCAGACATACTATTCACTGAACTACATAAAATTTGTTTTTTGATATTTTTACAGGATACTGAAATATTTACTTTTCCAACAAAATTGTAAAATAACAAAATAATGCAATAACATAATCTTTTCTTAACATATTCACCAATACCTAATTACACAAATTTACCTACATTTATTATTCTCTAAAAGAAAGCAGAAGAAATGAACTTTTGAGTGCTTTCAATATGAGTCAACAGTACGTGAAAACAAATTAAAAGATCCAACTGAAAGTAACCTTTGTATCCTTAATAATCTGTATTATGTGTCTGACCACAAACGTGCGTTTCTACTGTCGCAGTAAACGTGTCAATCCTCCGTTGCATGAATCCTTCAATTATAAACTGAAATACACTTTTAAACTCTCAAAGTAACATTAAAAATGCGATCGAAATAAATATTTTCTATTTAAAAAATCTGTTTGTAGAAAAATAATATAATACTGTAAATTTATAATTTAAGGGGGAACGACAGAAAGTTGCTTTTCAATTTTTATCACGAAGAAATTTATTTTATATTCATCTGTGTTTGACAAAATATAAAAATATACAAATTGCAAACAATATATTGCAAAAGTTTGCTAAAAGACAGTAAATTTATTTAATATTAAACATTGTTAGTTTTAAAGTGATACGAAGTCAATTTAACCACTGTTTGTTTTATTAAATTATATGATGAGCAAATGCATGTACATTTTATTTAGACACTTTCCAGTACTTTTTAATAGATCATACCAAACATTTGTATAATATTTTGTTACATTTATTTTCTCTATTTTCAAGTAATTAATACTAGTATTTTTAGTTATGAGAGTGAACAAATTTTTGATAATATAAGTATTAGATCTGTATAGAAATTTAAGTGTCACCCATATACATATCGCTAACATGGCGGTCAGAGTATAAAAACACAAATTCAATCATAGCTATTCAACGTTTGGGTATTAAAACAGGAGCTAACTTATGATTAATCAACAACGTCTGAACATAAAAACATAGGTTAAATGATCAATAACGTGTGGACATTAAGAAACAAGGTAACTCGTGATCTGGCAGCATGTGGGCATTAAAACAAGTAGACTCCAATCGACGTTCGAGCATTAAAACACTTGTCAAATCACGATTAATTCACAACATAGACCATTAAATCACTAATTAATTCATGCCCAATAAACAAACCATTATCCCCAAAAAAATTCCACGAACGATAACTAAAAGAACTGCGAAATGCACCCTTACGAGTAAAATTGTCATGAGCAACGGTACCAAGTACGAAACGGCCATGAAAGTAAAGGAAACCGGTCTAGAAAAGAGCATCATCCGATAGCGATTGCATTCCATAACCGATTATCGGCCAGCGAAGCCGCGAAATGCTGCTAATTACGTGTTTAACAAGAAAAAGGGGAAAAGAGTGGAAGTTCGAATCCGATGGGGCTTCGTGAGTGCGCATGATCGCAGCCCCCTCCCGTTCCTTTCGTGTGTGTGTTACTCTCCTGTACGTTTTGTCGTGTGGTTGTGTGTGTTTCATGGGGTGGTTGGAGCCCACGTGGACCAACACGATACTGTCAGTCGCGTTCAGCGAGTCATTCGCGTATCACGGTTCGCGATTGGGGTGCGTTTCCATCGCACCGATCATCAAACTTTCCTTCGCGAGTTTCTAGTGCACGTTCACATTGACAGCATCTGTGAGTGGAGGACATTGTGCAGTGCTCGGGGTGGGAAACGAGGTAAGATTCATTTGAAACATTTTCATTTCGAACGTGTTTGGTGATTAAAGGGTGATCTTGCCGGTGCTGTGGTACTGTTGTGGGTATGCTGTTTTATACCATTTTGTTGCGTATTTTTATTCGGTGATCCGAGATGTTTTTCCTGGCAATCAGTGACAGTGTTCAAGAATTTTACCACTTTAAAGTTACACGTTTACATGATTTATCTTCGAGCTTCCAAGGTTTTTGGTTGCAAATACTGTCAATGATTTATGAAATTTTGGAGAACAAAAGTTTCTGTCAAGTTTCGTGTGCTTGTATACTTTGACATTATTAAACTTATATTAGTATATCCTTCTTAATAAGTAATATTTTTTGAACTATCTGTCAAATGAATCTTTGAAGTTTGAAACTTTTCACGAAGTTCTGTATGTCGTGTGCACCCTGTTGCACAATCAAACTGACAGTATTAGGGAACATCTTCAATTTTCATTAGTAAATAATAGACCATGAACATTTTATGAAGTTCTGTCTATCAGGTGCATCTTTTTGAACAATTCAATTGATAGTATTAGTAATAATGTATGTTAAATTGGTAATTAAATTGTGCAAGTTGTAAGCTACAAGCTGTTTCTATTAATTTTTTTATGTGAGTAAGAGAACTTTGTATGAAACGAGCAAAGTCCTTCAACTGACATTCTGTAAACTGAGTAACTGATATTTTATAAATTGAGAAACTAACATTTTATAAATTAAATAACTGATATTTTATAAACTGAATAACTGACATTTTGAACAACTGACAACTCTAAAAATCACAAGTCAATTAATTGTTTTAGATATTTGACATCTGAAGGTTATATTCAGCTTCATCTACAATTTATTCAGAACTGTTACTTGATTAAAATTATAATTTTGGTGGTAGAACATTAAACGTAAAATTGAAACTGAAGTCAATAGTTAAACTAAAATAAAAGTAAGTGAAAGTTAAAGAATGACACGTAGAATTAAAGAGTCTACTATTAAATTTAGAATCATTAAGAGTTTTCTAATATTTTCTAAAATTTACTTTGCGTATTTTTCTGAAATTTAGATTGTCATTATTGATGATTGAATTTAATATGTTTTAGATATATATTTACATTAATCAAAAACTCATTTTGGCTTAAATTAAATAAAAATTGAATTCACAGAAAAGTTAAAAGAATAATTTTTTCTCTGAAAGCTTTATTCTTGGAAAGTGAAATAACCCCTTTAAATCCTGTATGCAGTTTTCAACGCAGCACGTTAAAATTTTGTGATGCAACCTATTAAAATATTTACTATTAAAATACACGTAAAATTTTAATTTTTCCTAATGTAAAAATTTTAATTTTTCCTGAAAAATATGATTTTTTCTCTTGAGCACGAATATGGTTATTTCTCTTATACCATCGTTATCAATTACGTGACATGTGTTATATCCATGTTACATATTTCAATAAACATATCTAACATTTCATAAAAATTGAAACATTTAAAGAGCAGCCAATATTAGGCACTCTAAAGGCGAAACAAACTTTGCCCATTATGTGTTTACATTTCCATCAAGACGAAAATTAAATTTATTCACACTTTCTGGTGAAACGCATTATGGTTCGGTGTAGTTAAAGAAACTTTTGAAAGGCGTGTAAGAAATGGTTGTAGCAGAGTTTATGGAGAACACGTTGTTCTCGAACGATCATTAACAACTTCGATGAAATTAAAACGGAGTGCTGTATCCGGGGCACTTGAAAGGAGTTTTGAAACAAGTTAGGGAGAAATTTATGTTGGGTGTAAATTTGCTGTTCAAATTTATTTTTATGACAAAATGCTTGTCACCTGATGTATGATTAAAATAACTATTCGTCAATTCCAAAATTATTTGGCAAACACAATTATTTGTCTATTTTAGAACGATTTTACAAATGCATGAGATATGTAGAGTAGATGGTATTGACGTGTGTTCATGTGTGTAGTATCGTATGTGTATACTGTTTGTGGCAATTACATATATTATATTACGATTCTGTTATTGAGATAATTTCTGATTCAAACGAATTCTATTATTGGACTCATTGGTTTCTACAGCGAAGGCTGTGTGACACATATACTATGATGACACATATACTGTAATATTAATGTTAATATGGTATTTAGTATGGCACATATGTCGATGTAACACTCATCGTAAATATTTACATCAAAATAAGCAACCCTTGGCAAATATTTACATTACTATTTTATTTAACTTTTTATTGAGTTATGAAGGTTATCATTCTGAATAGTGATGTGGGTTTTAATGAGTATGTATACTAAATCGATGAATCTAAATTGCATACCTGTTTCATTACTACAATATTTCACACAAAAATCTACCTACCTAAAATGACTATTTTCAAGCAATCACATTTTCATATATCCACCAATGTACTTTAATTCAATTTAATTATTTTTTATTCGTTCAAACATATTTTTCCTTATAAACAAATATGTGAGATAGTCATACGGTTTTCTTGATTTCATGTTAAATATTCAACATAGCTGTGTGACCAATATTTCATTCAAAAATCTGTCTATATTGACTTAATTTTAAACGATCCCATTCTCATACTGCGAAGTATCTTAATTTCTCTTAGTCATTTTTTATTTATACATGCAGCTCTCTGTGTCAAATATTGATCTTATTGTTAGTTGTAGTTTTGCAAAGATTTTGTACAAGACTTTAACCTCATTTAACACTGAATTTAACAGTAAATATTTTACACTAAATTCTTAAGAAATATAGTCTTAACATATAGTTACATATCTTATAATTACACATAGTCTTATACGATGAAAGTCATAAAAGTCTGTCATTTACAGAAAGAGCAATCTCACTCCACAATTAAACCCACCTTAATATCCATCAAAAGCAAATTTCTCTCCTAAAAAAGCTTAATTGGAATTTGTATAGAACACGTGCCGACTTTCAATTAAAAAGAGTAGATAAAAATAGAGAACAGCGGTAGCGCGTGACCGACGACAACGAAGCCAATCGATTGACATCGATGAGTGCAGTTTTTCGAAAAATTCTCGCGAAGAGACAGCGGAAAGTGTTCTGTGCGAACATTCGCCGCGGTCCATAAATTATGGATTCCTCGTAAAACTCGGGGGGATCTTGCTACCTGAATTTCTCGATCGTTTAATGAGAGATAGGCCAAGAATTAATTAGTTTGAGTATGCCGATTAAAAATAAAAGTATCGGCGTTTGCTCGTTCGCTTAACCGCGACGATGTTATCCGTTCTTCGCAAACGAATCACGAGTCTCGTAAAAATACATCTGTCTAGGTAAACGACGAATCAGGGCTAATCATTTCGCGATGAAAAAAAAGGCTGCCGCATCAATGGGAAGCCCGTAAACGGGCGGCGTGAGAGGCCCAATAAAAATTCATTACTTTCGCCGGACGACCGGCCGGAATGGACGATTCATTCCGCGGTGAAAGGCATTCGTGCTCCTATTTTGTAAATAACCACGGTATTACCGCGTATGGTAAAAATTCATTGCTTTTAGTAAATTGGGTGTTGGGATCAAACGAGCGCCGATGGCTGTGTGCGAAGGTAATTGATACGAGTACAGTCGAGAGCAAATCTGGTTTCCATAAGGAAAATATAGTGATCGAGGGGAAAGATACCTCTTTGTGGGTAATTTTTAGGGGTTTTTGCAAATTTTTGATTTATAGGAGTTTGGGGGTGTGAATGTAGGAATATGAGAACGAATATAGGGGTCAAAATATGGAACAGTGAGAATATGGAAATATGAAAGCAAAGATGAAAATATAGACATTTGACGATTTAGATATTTGAGGTTCACGGAGGATATGAAATGAGGGATTTGGAAAAGTAAAAATGTGGAAGAGTAAGAATATTGAAATACATAAAAACAAATATGGGAATGTAGGCATTTGACGATTTAGATATTTAAGGTTCTCGAAGGTTGTGAAATTAGGGATTTGGAAGAGTAGAAATATTGGAAGAGTGAGAATATAGAAATACATAAAAACAAATATGGGAATATAGGCATTTGACGATTTGGATATTTAAGGTTCAAGAAGGTTGTGAAATTAAGGATTTGAAAGAGTAAAAATATAGGAGTCTAGAAATTTTTGAATATAGGTAGCTGAGGATCTTGAAAGTTGCAGCCAAAAAAAATGGAAATATAAAAATATTAGAATGCATATAGAGAACATAGGGATTTGGTAATTTCGGTATTTGGAGACCTCGAAGTTTGTGAATTTGGGGATGTGGCAGAGTAGAAATATGGGGACCTGGAATTCTTAAGATGTAGGTACAGGAGGCGTTAAAATTTGGTGTTAAAGGGTGTAGGAATATCGAAATATCAGAATGAATACAAGAATATAGTCATTTCCCTATTTTGGTATTTAAAAACCTTCGAGCTTGTGAAATTAGCGATTTCAAGAGTAGAAATATGTGGACCTAGAATTTGGAAGAGTGGAATATGTGGACCTAGGATTTGGAAGAGTGAAATATGAGACCTAGAAATTTTGAAACAAAAGTATTGTAGAACCTTGGAATTGAAATACGAAGTATGGAAATAAAAATGTAGGAACGTAGAAATTTGTGGATATGAATTCCAGAAACTAGAAATATGCAATTGAAATATTTGAAGATTCTAAAATTTGTGGACCTAGATATTTAGGAGACTAATATGGAAATCTAAAAATTTAGCAATCTAAGAATAGATCTAGAAATGTAAAAGACTAAGAATATAAAAATCTAAGAATGTGGAGATCTGGGGATTAATGAATCTTGAGATGTGGGTGCCTATGAATATTGCCTAGGAACTTTAGGACATATATATTGAAGGACCTTAAAATTTAATAATCCAAAAAAATAGAAATTTAATAACATTTCTTCTAACTGAATCTAAAGATTTAGAGAACTAGTATAATTTAGAAATTTGTTAACCTATTATTATATAATTGTATAAGTTCTATAATATA